CAGCCGGTCCTGGGAGGTGCCCGGGTGCGGTCAGTGCTAAACCACCGTGGGCACGCAGAGACTCGGCAGAGCGGGAACAGACCTCGCATGCCCCCTCCCATGCCAGGCGTGGCCCTTGAAGGCAGGTCAGGGCCTCACGACTGCTCCTGTCCAGAGTTCATCCACGGCCGCTTCCTCCTGCTCCAACAGCAGCCACAGCAGCGGGAAGCAACCGGACTCGTCCCCACTCCTGCGCTCAGTGATTCTAACCCCAATCGGATCCATCTTCTGACATCCCGGAGACCCGGCCCGATGTCCAGGGCGCAGAGAGGAGCTCCCGTGTACATCCACTTTGGGGAGAAGCTGCCTGTGTACACCTGCTGGTCAAGGGCTGGGAGAGCTTCCTCTCTTTTCTGATCCTGGAGTTACGAGGCTCTTAGGGAACCAGTGCCCGCATCCACTGCAGGCGAGTTCAGTGCCAGTATGACCAACTGAGTCCCCAGGGTGCTTGCCGGGCTGGCCAGGCCCTCCTCAGGGCAGTCTCCTTCCACTCTGCCCCAGGTGTCGATGCGTCCCTCAGGCCGCGGTTTCTTGACTTCCTCGGGGTGTCAACCTTTCACCTTCTCTGGCCGGACCCGCGAGGCCAGGGACAGGAGAGGGAACGCCTCTCCCTGCGCACAGGGGTGCCTGAATCCGGGGACCCAGGAGTTCGGGGAGCAGGAGGGCCCGTGATGACACAGCTTACCACTCGCCACTGGCCACCTTCCTGGGCTCAGAGCCCACGTGGCAGTGGCTGCTGCCTGGCGGCACCTCCTTTCCTGACAGTGGTGGGGAGGGTCTTTCTTCCATAGCCACGTTCAGGCCTCGCCCTCACTTCACACCTAACTACAGCAGGAGCGCCACGGGCGGCATGTGGGCACTACGAGCTGCGGGACCGGGAGGAGGAGCCAGACCGTGCATGGGACGTCTCAAGTCCCTTGCGGTGGCTCAGGTGACAGTCCCGGGACACCACGTGGCTGCTCTTGGCAGTCCCACAGCCCTTCAGACTTCACAAGGCAGGGGATGCTGCCCCTGGGAGCACCAATGTGAGGTCCACATTCAGGGGATGCTCCCGGGTGGACAGGCAGGGCAGCCGTGGATGTGTGCCTGGCTGCAGCCCTCAGGGCGAGTAAAGGCAGGCGTGCAGGACGGGGTGCGTACGTGAGGAGGTGAGCGCCGGCTGGGAGGGGTCCGGGGGTGGCCAGCGGCCCTGGGAGAAGGGGTCCCGGGAGAGACCGGCAGGCCCAGCATCCTGCAGGGCGGAGACACCCTCCCAACTGCTCCCAGGAAGGAGGGGCACGTTCAGGACGCCGCAGGGTTGTGGGGCCCATGGGAGCAGTCCAGAGTGGGCGGAGATCCTCGCTGAGGGGGTGGCAGGGGCAGCTCAAGAGGAGGCTGTAAGGGTCTGCTGGGACCCCGCCGGGAGACGGGAGGACTCACTCCAGGGGGACGCAGGTCTCTGGTCAGCTGGGGGTTCCGTGGCTGACTCAGCATGCCAGCCCCAGCAGGGGGCATGAACCAGGGCCCCCGAGCTTGTGGCTCCCAGGTCTCACCCCGGGGCTCCGGGAAAAAAGAACGGGGGCCGTCAAGATCGCCGGGGTGTGCACCCAAGGGCCCGGGGCAGACGGGGTTTTCCGAGGAGACCTGGGCTCCCCTCCCATCCACGTGGTGATGCCAAGCGGACGTGCGCACTGCATGCTGAAGCACACGTGCACCTCCAGGCCACCTCGCCGGCCACGCCCTGTCCCCGCCTCAGACGCTCGCAGCCACAGCCGTAGCACCCACCTGCGCAGAATGGCCAGGCTCTCCTCTTCCTCGCCCGCCGAGCTGCCGCGGCCCTGCCGGGTCTCGCTCACCTCACTCTGAGGGCGGGACGGAGGCCGGGGTTGGAAACCGGCACAGAGCAGCCTCAGGCACCCGCTCTCGGGGCCACGGCCCCCGCTGGGCCCGTCTGAGGACAGGCCTGGGTCCACAGGGGGAGTCAGGCAGGAGGGCGGGTGGCTCAGAGGCCCACGTGCCCCGGGGTCGGGATAGGCCATGCATCTGGGGACAGGCCTGGGTACCCAGAGGGAGTCAGGGCAGAAGGGGGGATGGTGACTCGGAGACCTGAGTTAGGGGTAGCCACGCGTCTAGGGATAGGCCCAGGGTCCACAGAGGAGGGAAGCAGGGCGGAAGGTCAGGTGACTCGCAGGCCCGCGTGCCCAGGGAGAGGGAGCTATGCGGAGCACAGGGCAAGCTGTGGCACGGGCACTGGGCAGTGGCGGCCCAGCCCTCACCTTGGCCCTCCTGCAGGGGCCTCTCCGGAGCCCGCTGCCCTCAACGCTGGTGTTCTCGGAGCCGCGTCGGATGCCTGTTGGGAAAGAGGCGAAGGGAGGCGTCCAAGCATCGGGCAGCCAGTGCAGGGTCACACGGCACGCCTTCCATTTTCGCCTCCAGAGGGAAAACGCAGAAGGCCCCAGGAGGGGCCCCAGAGGCCATGTGGGTGGGGCTGGGCCACGGGGAGCTTGCTGGCCCAGGGGCCCCTGGACAGGGGCAGCCTGGCTGGCAGGAGGGGACCCGGTGGCCGGGAAGGAAGCTCATGGCATCCGGGTGTGTCCTCAGACCCGGCAGGTGGACAGGAGCGCCTGGCTCCGAGGCTCTTGGGAGCTCATGCCGAGCCCGGAAGCCCAGGGCAGGTGTCCGGAGCCTGGGGTCTCTGGGTTCCAGGTGAGGAGCCCAGCGAGGGCGGGAGGAGTTTTGAGACACGGAGGTGACAGGAAAGTCTCCAAGAAGCGGCTCTGGGCTCGCCACAGAGGATGGGTTTGGAGTGGGGCCAGGAGGCACCGCTGAGGCCACGTGCCCTGGTGGGCTGGACCAAGCACCAGGCCCGGCTCCTAGGGCACGGGGAGCCCAGAAGCGCTTGCACTGCGCTCCAGCTGGGCGTGAGGAACGCCGTCTGGGGCACGCGCCGAGCCTGGATGGCTGTGGAGAGACTGAGTAGGGAAGGTTGGGGGTCCCCAGCAGCCAGGCGCGGTCTCAGGCTGCGGCCACGCGGACTTGGCCGAAACCGCTCAGCGCCGCCGGCCGAGCGCAAAGCAGCTGCAGACGGCACCCATGTGACGAGCATGGACCTTTATTTGCAGGAACGAGCGACAGGCTGGAAACTGGCCGTCAGGCCTGGACAGAGCCCGGCGGTGGGGCAGGGAGACACGTCTTGGCGGGCCCCACATTGCTCGAGGCACAAGGTGGCCGCACACACCTGGGGAGGGGCAGGGCGACTTGCTGAGCGCCTCAGGTCTGGGGGCCACGGGCTGCACGGGCCGCGTCTGCTTGGCCGCCAGCTTCTTCAGGCTGGCCTGCCTGCGATGGAACATTTCTTCCACACCCTCCTGCTTCTGGAAGACCTTCCGCACGTGCTCCTGCAACAACACGCCAGGTGAGCCCTCGCGGGGGGGGCGCCCGTCGTTCCCAACGGATGGCGCACGGAGAATGCGCCTGCGCTGTGCTGTGTCTACTCGGGTCTCCTCAACAGCAAGGGGCCTGCGGCCCAGGCACGGGTCAGGAAAGGCTTGGCAGGGCCCAGCAGCCTCCTCCAGACGGCCGGGGCCACTCACCGGGGTGTCTTCTGGTTGCCCCCCGGGTGGAACTGGGCAGCCAGCTGGGAGCCAGACGGAGCCAGCCAGGACCCCAGCGCAGGCGGCTTCCAGGCAGGTGGCCCAAGCCCTGAGCTCGGCCAGGGGAGGTGGACGACCACCTGTGCTGCTCGACTTCCCTGCTCCTCGTAACTCTCGAATGCCCGTCCCCGCAAGTGGCTCCTGACTCCACACGATCAGACCCCGTGCGGGGTCGCCCAGTGCCCGGGCCGCAGGGCCGCGTTACCATCAGGTCCTGGCTGAGGATGGACTCGTACTCCTTGCAGAGCCTGCTGAGCTCCTGGATCTTGCTTTCGGCGCCCGTCTCCAGGAACTTCTCAATCTCCTGGAGGGCGGCCTCCGCGCCATCCTGGGACTGGCACTTGTCCACCGGCTGCGAGGCCAGCAGGTAGATGCCCTCGTCACACCACCTCATGGACTGCGGACAGAGTGGGGCAGAGGCGAGGCGTGGTCAGGGACGGGCCCACCTGCCCGGCGGCCGCTGACCGACGTGCCGTGCTGAAGCCCGGCTCCGTACTCTTCTGCCGCTGTGTCCACAGGGTCCCGCAGGAACACGGCCCACGAGCCCAGGCCAGTTCCCAGGCCGACTCAGGGCTCCAGAGACAGGTGGAGTGCGGGAACCAACAAGGGTGGGCATTCGGGTCTCCTTAAGGACACAGTCATCAGGCTGGGAACTCCGGAAAGCATGCAGCTCTGGCGGGGGGTGACCCCTGGGGCCGGCGAGGAAGAGGACTGACACAAGGAAGGGCGCAAGGCCTCTCTTGGCCAAGGAGTCCACCCCCAGGGCTGTGGGCCGGCGCGGCTGGGGCAGCGAGGCTGGGCCCCACCGCGGCGGGCGCCCGCAGGACCTACCGTCTCCAGGAGGCTGTGCAGCTCCAGGGACTTGCCCAGCAGCCCCCGCCGCCTAGCGACCTCGGCGCTGAAGTGGTCGCACAGATGCCGCAGCTCCTCGCACTTGGGGCGGATGGAGTCCACCGCGTAGTGCTTGTCCTCGATAAGCCGCTCGCCGTCCCCGCACAGGGCCTGTGCCCGCCCCACGGCCGCCTGGGGACAGCCCAGAACGCAGGCTCAGCCTCTCTCCGGGAGGCCCGTGGGTGCCGGGCGTGGCAGGACGCCTCCCCCCAGATATGGACCAGCCACTTTTTCCTTCTCTGCTGCTTTGTGCACCTGAGATGCTGCCCAACCCCCAAGCGATTCCGAGGCAAACGCTTCTTGGGGCTGCGGGGTCCCAGCCAGGCTCGTCAGCAGAGACCTGACCCAGGGGGCGCCTGCCAGGGCTGTGCGCCCGAGAGCAGGATCGGCAGGTGGCGGGGGGCATGGGGCGCTCCTGACCTCGCCCACACACATCCCAGGGGACTTCAGGGGCTTCTCCAAGAGGGCGGGAAGCCCAGTCCCCACCGCCCTGCACCCCGTCCTCACACTGGACTTCTCCTCGAAGTTGGCAAGGTCCCGTAGCAGGTGTTCTACGTGCGCCAGGCTGTTGCCCACGTCCGTGAAGGCCGCCATTTTCTGGGACACCGTGTCCAGGGCGGCTTTGACCTGGAACAGAGAGGGGCCCACCTCAGAGGGAGGGGTCTCCCATGCTTGAAGGGAGAGAGGCACACCGGGAACAGGAAAGTGGTGGACACTGGCACCAAGCGGCAGAGCCAGGCTTGACGTGACCGCCAGGCAGCCAGGGCCGGGCTTGGCGTGACCATGGGTACTTTGGGAGGGACCGGGCCCAGCAACCCACACGGCCGAGCACTGACTTCCCTGCATCTCAGCTCACCAACCACAACAGGGGAACGCCTGGAAATCCACGAGAGAAGATGAGGCCACGGGAGGAAAAGCACCTTGGGAGCTGGAAGAACAGTGGCCGTCCACACGCAGGGGCGGCAGCCACTCCGGGGGGCCGGGCTGGGCCAGGGAGCTCTGCCACCCGTCCCTCCCGCTCAGTGCCAACTGCTCACATCTACTGTTTCTGGCGTTGGCAGGAAAACCAGGGCTTTCATACACGTGACTTTGAAAGTATACAAAAGTGTAGCCCTTTAAAAATAGCTTTTATTTTTCGTTATTTGAAATCATCCTGAGAACAGGTGTGCACACGGATGTCCCGGCGTCAGGGTCACGGTTCAGACAGCCTGGGCTCCAAGGTCAGGAGCGCAAGACTCTGCCCACTCTTGACCCACTGAAAGTGGCACAGTCACTGTGTGAGACTGATCCTTCCGCATGCCAGCACAGCCACTCGAGTTACAGTCAACACAAACCACCTCCCAGAAAGGGTTCCCAGGAACCCACCCTGGGAGCCAGCTCACCCCTGTATCCACCACTCTGCCTGATTTCATCCTGGCACGGATGCTCTGAAGTCTCCCATCTAACAAAGGTCAGTTGGCTTCCTTGGGGGTCCGCCTCTCCCACCCCACTGCCACCATCACCCTAATGGAATAGGGTCTGGGGTGTATCTTCCCCAGGGCCCAGACTAGACCTGACCTCAGCAGGCCTCAGGCTGTGTAAGGGACCACGCTGGTTTCTGTTTCTTTTGGCCTGGGGTCTGCTACCCACACGGCACAAAGGGAGCAGGATGTTGACAAGTCCCTTCTGGACAGGACACTCAAGCCCTTAGGGTTTCCCCAGCCCGGCCTCGCACCACGAGGAACAGAGCAAGAAATGTGCAGGGGGCACCTGGCAGTGCTCACTGGGTCACGGGGGCCAGAGGGAAGGCACGTGGACCTTCTGGGCCCACCCTCCTGGAAGATTGGCTGATTGGGGCGTTTTCAGTGGGTGCCCCCTGAGGCGAGGGGACAGCTGGCTTGGAGGGTTTCCAGCCACAGGCAGACCCCGAAGATGCGGGATTTCCCTCGCAAGCCTGAGGCTTTGCAACTCAAACTCCATGTCGCTGGGAGGGGCCCCATTCAACCCTCGGAGCCGAGATCCGGGTGCCAGACCAGGCCTACCTGAAAGAGTGGCTAAAGGGAGTTCCCTCGACAGAAAGGATCGAAGAAGTAAACCCACAGAAGAAAGACCACAGTGAGTACAGAAATGGCAGAAACAAGAGGCTCCCCTTGTCCGTTTGGGCTTTCCAAGTTGTGTCTGAAGGTCAAAGCTAAACTATATCACGGATGTGGTTTTCGATGTACGGAGAGGAAACATGTAAGACAGCTACAGATGGGGGGGTAAATGAAGCATGAAAAACTTACCTCCCACCATATCCCCCCACATACAACATATTATAGATTATATAACACTATATCGTCACATCCAGAGCAACTAAAAGACTGTGCAGTGAGATTTGAAAAAATTACTCTAGACAAATGAAAATGGAATTACCAAAACCATTCAAGAAACCACAGACAGGCAAGACAAAGAAAACAGAGACAGGAAACAACAGAAGAGACAAACAGAAAACACCAAATAAAGTACCAGACTTAAACCTTAAAATATCAATCATGACATTAAATGTCAATGGTCTAAACATACCAATTAAAAGACAGAGATTGGCTGAGTGACCCACCTGTGACCCAGCCAGTGCAGTGGCTCAGCTGTAATCCCAGCACTTTGGGGGGTGGCGGTGAGAGGACTGCCTGAGCCCACAGGCTCGAGACCAGCCTGGGCAACTTGGCAAGACCTCATCTCTACAATAAATCAAAAAAGTAGCCAGGTATGGTGGTGGTGCATGCCTGTAGGCCCAGCTACTTGGAAGGCTGAGGCAGAAGGATCGCCTGAGTCCAGTGGGTCGAGGCTGCGGTGGCCATGAGTATGCCACTGCACTCCAGTCAGGACAACAGAGTGAGACTCCAACTGAAAAAAAAAAGGGACCCAGCTGTATGCTGGCTACAAGAAATTTACTTCAGTGTAACAGTGCAGGAAAGACAAAGGTAAAATGATGAGGAAAATGTGTCACACTAGCATCCATCAGAGGAAAGCAGAAAGGGCTCTGTTGGTATCAAGTGAGGTGGACTATGGAACAAAGAAAATTACCAGGGACAGAGGGGAACGTGACATAATGACGAAAGAAGACACAGCAATCCTAAACATCTGTGCACCAAACAACAGAGCTGCAAAACACGCAGCACAAACACTGGCAGACTGAAAAGAGAAACAGACAATCCACGCTGATAACAGACACTTGCAAAACCCTCTACGCTGTAGGCCAGCTTGACCGAAGATGCTATATCACCCATCTGTGGGATCCGTCTGACATCTGCAGAACCGCCCCCAGACACAGTTATTCCTTTCAAGGACCTGAGGAATGTATATCAAGACAGAGCAAGCCACAAAACACATCTCAACAAATTCATAAGAACTGAAATCATACAGAGTATGTTCTCTGGTCACAATGAATCAAATTAGAAATCAAGAATAGAAGGATAACAGGAACATCTCTGAACACTTAAAAGCCGAACAACACAGTTTTAAATGACTCGTGGGTCAAGGAGGAAGTTTCAAGGGAGAGTTAAAAGAACTGAACTAGATGAAAATGTAGTATATCAAAATTTGTGGGACACAGATAAAGCAGTGGTGAGAGGTAAGCAAACAGTATTAGTATTAAATAAGTACATTAGGAAAGAGCACTAGTCTCAAATAAACAATGTATGCTCCCATCTTAGGAACCTAGAAAGACGAAAATAAACCCAAAGCAATCAGTAGAAATAAATACTAAAGAGCAGAAATCAATTAAATCGAAAACAAAATAGAGAAAACCAATAAAACAACAAAGAGCTGGTCTTTGAAAAGATGAAAAGTAATAAATCTCTAGAAAGGCCGACAAAGCAATAAAGGAGAGAAGACTCAAATGACCAATACTGTATCAGAAACGAGGCAGGGATGGCACTAAAGGCTCTGCAGGTAGAAGAAGATAAAACAGATGATGATAAACAACCGAACGCACATAAACGGCACGACGTGGAGTGGACCAGTTCCTTGAAACGCACCAACACATCACACTCACTGTGAAACAGATAATTTCGGCAGCACCACAACTGCCAGGAACGCTGCCTTCATAATCTTAAAGGTCCTCAAAGGAAATCTCCAGATCCAGATAGTTTTACTGGAGTCTTCTACCAAAATTTTTTTTAAATTACACTAATTTATACCACCTCTTCCAGAAAATAGAAGAGTAGGGGACACTTGCAATTCATTTTATGAAACTAATATTACCCTGACACCAAAACCAGATACAGGTTTTTAAAAAAGAGAATAAACAAAGGAAAAAGAAAACTACAGACTAATATTGGCCCATGAATATAAATGCAGAAATTCTCAACAAAATATTATCAAATATAATTCAGCAATATATGAAAAGAAGTATACGTCATAACCAAGTGGGCTTTATTTCACGGATGAAAGCTTGATTCAGTATTTGGAAATCAATGAACATAAATGACCACATCAACAGTGCAAAATTTAAAAACCACATAACTATTTCAGCAATGCAGAAAAAGCATTTGATGAAATCAAACATCCATTTGTGAGTTTTAAAACTCTCAGAAAAACAGAGCTAGAGGGAAACTTTCTCAACTTGATAAAGAACATCTACAAAAATCATACAACCAGCACTGTACTTGACAGTGAAAGATTAAATGCTTCCTCCTAAGACTGAGCATGAGCAAGGGTGTTGATTCTTATTCAAATGGTGGAAGCTCCATCCAGTGCAATGGGAGGGGGGGAAGGCACACGGCTGAAAAGAAGCAACCAAACTGTCATTATGTGCACACGACATGATTGTCTGTGCTGTAAATTCCAAGGACTCAATAACAACAGCGCCTAGAATGAGAGTGTGTCCAGCAAGGTTATAGAGACAAGATAAAAATACGAAAACAGCTGTCTGTACAAAGCAAGGATACACAGACACAAAAATTACAAATACAACTTATAATCTCTTTAAAAATGGAATACCTAAATATAAGCCAAACCATCCATGTACTAAATCTGTGTGCTGAACGCTGATGAGAGAAGTCTGGAGAAACGCAGCGCATACATACCATGTTCAGTGATGGGAGGCTCTACGTGGTGAAGACAGTGTTTCTCCCCAAAACCAGGCCTAACACCATTTGTATCAAACCCTGGGAAGATTTCTTGTAGATTCAAACAAGGTTATTTTAAAATGCACGTGGAAGGGCAAAATAAGTAGAACAGCTCAAGCAATTTCAAAAAAGAAGAAAGGGGGAAGAATGAGTCTACCAGATTTCAAGATATCTTACACAGTTACAACAATCACATTATAGTATCGACAGAGAAACAGATACACAGATCAATGGACCAGAATGAAGAACCTCCAAGACAGACCCACACAGATACACCCAAAGGAGTTTTGACAAAAGTGGAAGAAAAATCCAGGGCAAGAAAGAGCCTTTTCTAGTAACAGAGAATTGGCTACTCAGAAGCAAAGAGCAAAAACATGATCTAACTATGACACCTCTTACAAAGTTAACTTAAAACAGATCTTGGACTTAAGTGGAAAACTATACAAACTTAGGAAAACAATCCTAGGAAACTATACTTGAGACATAGGACTGACAGCATACTCCTTGAAAGGAGAAACGATACACTGAACTTCATCCAAATTAAAAACTTTTGCTCTGTAACAATCCCTGTTAAGAGGATGAGAAGGCAAGCTGCAGGCTGGGAGAGAGTAGTTGCAGGCCACACTTCTGACAAAAGGCTAGTGTCCACTGTGCACAAAGAACTCTCCAAACTTAACCGTAAAACAAAAACACAAACCCAATCATCCAGCTGGAAAACAGAAACCATGGCAGCAAAGAGACATCTCACCAAGGGGGATCTACGGATGGCAGACCAGGAGAGATGCCCCATGTCACTGGTCATTAGGCAGACGCACTGCAGGACCACAACAAGCTACCACCACACACCTGTTGGAAGGTGTGAACAACGGGGAAGATCATCGGAACGCCACATGCTGGCAAGATGTGGAGAAACTCAGGCCCTCACACATTGCTGGTGGGAATGTTAAGCGTCCCAGCCATTCTGAAAAAAGTCAGGCACTCTCTTTAGAAACGAAACAGGCAGCCACTGCACAACCCAGCAACCGTACTATACTCCTCCACAAAAAGGAACGGACTGTCGTTGCCTGCAACACCGTGGGCGGATCTCCAGAGAATCACGCTGAGTGAAAGCCCAGTCCCAAAAGGTGCCTCACGGTGTGGTCCCGTGAGAGAACGGTCATAAATGGCAAAGGCTCAGCAGGGGAGAACAGGCGAGTGGCTGCCGGGGTGGAGGGGGGTGGGGGGAGCGTGGGTGTGTGCACGAGGGGCTGTGGGGGGCAGACACCTGGGCTTGACTGTCCTGGCCGTGTTGATGTCACAACACAGCTGGGACGCTGTCCTGCAGTCTGGCAAGTCGCCACCATTGGGGACCCTGCGTGAGGAGAACCCAGGACCGCTGCCACTTCTTACAGCTGCATGTGAACCTGCAATCATCTCCAAATAAGAAGTTTAGGCTTAAAGTCACCTGCTCTGAAAAGCCGTCCTTAGTCCCCACAGACATGAGTGACCCACGGTCATGTTCCCTCCGTGTTTCCACGGCACGCTGCTCCCAGCCCTCCCTGCGGGGCCAGTCGCAGGGGCGAGTCAGTGTTTCTGGTCTGGGGCAGGAGACTTTCACCCGGTGTCCCACCCATCGGCGCTGGGCCTCCACCCCGCTGAACAGCACTCGGTACACATACTGAACAACACCCCACGAGTTCCCCACAGTGACCCATCCGTGCTCCCCAAGATGCGACCCACGGACGCTGCTGGAAGTCCCCAGGAGGCCCAAGCACAGGCCCTCGGTCCTGCCTCCCTGACCCCAACACGTCTGTTATCTTTGAACCCGTTGGCGTGACTGATTTCTCGAGTTTTATGATTTCTCCATCCTGACCAGAGGCCTTCTGAGGACGGGACAGAGTTCTCTAAGGGGTTCACAGGGCCCAGCACCAGGGTCAGGCCACTGGAGGTCTTCACAGACTGTTCTGCATGGACAGGTGAGGAGCGAGTTTCCAGAGGGCCGGCATCCCTACCGATGTCACAGCACGTCGCACACAGCCTTGCCACACAGAACCCAAGGCGGGATCGCGGGGTTTTTGCATACCCAGGGCCTCGTGCCAGGTACACAGTAGGCGCACGATAGACGTAAGTGGAACAGAAGCGCCTGCACATGAATGTAAAGTGAGGCAAAGGCCCCCTGACTGACACATGACCCAGAGGGGAGCACACGCCCGCACACCGAGTCCCAACCGTCTTTTGTCAAAAGTACAGAGGCGTGTGCATCCGTCTCATGTCTTGGGGCTCAGTCCAGCAAGGCCACGCGGGCTCCACATGCCTGGATATCTGTCTGCATGAAGGAGGAGTCAGCTGCCCGCCTCAGCTCTCGGTGTGGGGCCAGGCGTGGACCCAGGAAGCACCCGAGTGCCACTTACTGGCTCCGGGCCACTTACCTCTCGGAAACCCTGCTCAAAATGCCGGAGCTGCAGGCACTGCTCGAGTTTCTGCTGATGCTTCGCCCAGAACTCATCAAAGGCAGCCTCGGTTTCGTTCAGCTGGGACAGGAGCCTGGGAACGAGAAGGGGACGGCGCTGTGTGGAGACCGCTCCAGGGGCAGACAGCCCCGGGGACAGACAGCCGCAGGGAGAGACAGCCCCAGGGAGAGACCAGACATGGAGAGACCAAGCGTGGAGAGACCGCCGTGCGGCTGTCACCACGCCACGCGTCCTCGAGGCCCTGCCTCCACTTGGCCCCCCACTCGGTCTCAGGCCCCAACGGAGTCGCCCTCAGGGCGTGAGGGGAGGCGGGTTGGGTGGCATCATGGCCCTGGGTCTCCCTTCCCACCAGCCACACCAACACGCGGAGCTGAGTGTGTCGAACTTCCCAGGGGCAAAGCCCGTGAGGGTCAATCACAGCTCTGCTTGGGGTGAGGGAGGCCGTGGCTGCCCGGTGTGGGGATGCTGGCGTCGCCATGCTGGCGTCTCAGGCCAGGGTTCCCATGCGCCGGGCCGCGTGCGCGCCCTGCCGGCCTCACCCATGTCCTCCCACGCCCACCCTGCCAGGCCTCTGCTCAGGCTCGCCACCGATGAGGACACGGAGTCTGGGAGGGAGTGACCGGGTGCTCGGCACGCAGTCAGGGCGGACTCGCCCTCGTGGCAGGGCCCAGCTTCCCCCTCGCGGGCCACACAGCCCATCCACGGGGAGGCCCTCGACAGCGTGACCCGTGTCCCGGCACAGCGCGCTGCTGGGTGTGGGGGCTGCGGTGGGGCGGGACGTGCAACCAGGGCAGGGGGCGCCTGGGCCAGACTCGTAGCCCCTCAGGGCCTGCCCACGGGCCTCTGTCCGGAAACCTGGTCCTCACCGCAAGTCAGAGACACCGCCGCCCGCCTGTGAGGACGGGGTGGGGAGGCCCAGGGAGGCCCAAGGTGGTGGCGGCGAGCCGTGGTCACCGCACAAGGGGCTTCCCTGCACTGCGCCAGGGAGAGACACACACTTCGCGCCTCTCACAACCTGAGTGAGAAAACACGGGGCGTCAGTATCTCCCCACGCTGGGACAGGGCACTGACATCTCCTCATGCCCGAGACAGAGCACTGACTACTGCCACACCTGGGACAGAGCACTGACACCCCCTCACGCCCAGGACAGAGGACTGATGTCTCCCCACGTCCGGGACAGAGCACTGACGTGCCCCCACTCCTGGGACAGAGCACTGACGTCCCCTCATGCCCAAGACAGAGCACTGAAGACCGCCACGTTTGGGACAGAGCACTGACATCCCCTCACGCCCAGGACAGAGGACTGATGTCTCCCCACGTCCGGGACAGAGCACTGACGTCCCTCCATTCCCAGGACAGAGCATTGATGTCCCCTCGCCTGGGACAGAGGACTGACGTCCCCCAGAGCTTGGGACAGCACTGATGTCGCCCAGCGCCTGGGGCATCGACAGTCCCTCACGCCTGGGGCAGGCGCCGGCTCTAGGACCTTCCGCCCCAGCAGAGCTGCGCCCTGGGGTTCAGGAGAAACACGTCTTGCTAGAAGGATCCAAGTCCGTGCAGAGGCTCTGACGGCGCCAGGCCGAGTTGCCCGGGGAAGAGTGGGGTTGCTGGCTGGCTGTGGTCTCCGGGGCCCACGTGCGCCCACACCCGGAATGAGGGCCACGGCCTCACCTCTGCATGGTGGCCTGGTTGTCCAGCTGGTCCTGGTTCACACCATGCTCCGCGCCCTCGGCCGGCGGTGCCCCGATGCGCTCCAAGATGCTCTGGCCCTCCCTCAGCGCCAGCCTCATGTCCTCCTGCGGGGAGAGCGCAGCCTCGCACGCCCGCCGGCAGCCATGGGCCTCGGGCCTCCTGCCGGCGGGCACCAGGTGG